GGGGGGGGGCACAATTTGCTCCTTTCTCACAACAATCTTCACATTTTCCACAACTATTAGATGACAACCCCATAACATCAGTGACTCTTTGCAGTTTTGCTGATGGACTAAAAGTAATTTCTAAAGCTTCCCATTGCAGTGAAACACAATTGGTGCTGCTGTGTTTCCAGTGCTGACAGTACTGAATGGGGCCTGGCTACAGAGATGTACTTATTCAAATCAACTGCTGATAAAAACTCAGCACAGACGAGAAAAGAAAAAAAAAAGCACTGTCAAGTAAAAATCAGCTCAGCACACAGTATATTTTATACAAATACAAAGCTGCTGTTCTTAAACTAAAAGTTGAACTTTGAACTATTTTGACATCATGGACAGTCTGTATAGCCACATTTTCTGACATTGAAAGAAAACTGCATAAATTATTACTAAACTTCGTGTGGACTGTGCAGATTTAGAAACGGATCACGCAAATAGCAGGCCAACTTTGACCCACAACAAGACCAAAGCAATTTGCAGCATTTGGCATCAGTGTTTAACATAAGTGTGTGCATATCATAATAGTATTACAAGTGACAGGTCCCAACAACCGCTACTGTCAAAAACTGCATTGCTCCTCAAAATGGCTGCAATTGAGAGTCCTCTTAAGTCTGTCACAACCTACAACACAATCGCAAACACCTGCATGGAGTGTAAGACGTGTTGAATTTTTCTAAAATAAATATCAACATCCCAAAGGATCAGGACAGGACACTTACCAGGCGTGGCTGATCCTAGCTCAAATTAATGGTTTATCCGATCTGAAAACAAGGTTCGCGCTAAGTAGCGACAACGTCCTCTCCCCCATGAGACTGCCAGAGCAAAGACTAGCATTCATCCCCGTTTTCACTAGACTCTGAATTCATACAACGAGACACAGAAAACAGCGAGGCACACATGCAAACACGTCGCCTCCTCCTGCGTGCTCCACCCTGATTTTCAAACACCGTGCCAACAACACACGGCGTGAAGCAGCCCACGAGTGTGACAGCAATGATGTGAGCTGCCTCAGCCGAGCATCCATCAAGCAGTGTGACAGCGACCAGAGAGGGGAGAAACGCACCCGGTGACAGGTCACGGGAGCAACTGGGCTGACTGATGTCGAAACACAATAATATCTGCACAATAAACCACACGACGCCTGAACGTCACTCACAACCGCTTCCAAATGCTAACGCCGGGGCTGCACCGCCGGTTAACGACAACAGAACCACACGGTGCGGGTGGTCAGGTGTTTAAACGAGACACAGGCCTAACATTTCCAAGGATGACCCTCTACTTGGAAATGCATTCAAGTATGCTGCAGAGGTTAAGAGACTAGGTTGACAGGCACAGTTACTGCACTTCTAACTACGCTAATTACTTATTACTAACTTAAGGTGGACTCCATAAGCAGCACAATTGGCACTGATATACCTTATCACTGAAACCTTCTCCAAACTTACTCTACTTCGGCTTACCTGACCACAACGCCAGTCGTTATCGTTATCTTATTCCAGGTTATCTTCAGCTAAAGTTAATGTTAGCCAAGTTAGCTCCAGAAAGTTAGCTCGCTCGTTTAACTTCAATCAAAACCGCACTTTGTATTCCAGCTCAAGTATCTACATTTAACCAAAACAGCAAATAATAACGGCTTAAATGACAGCCAGTGTTCAAGTGCTGTTTGTCGGCACACAAGGACAAACTCCCACTGACAGGGTACCTGCTGCTCCAGTTCAGAGCGGCCTATCCGCCATTTTGAGGCACAGAAAGGAGGTGCACGGACTGCAGCCACATCGTCATTTTCCCCACCTAACGACGGATTCCTTCGACCGTCGCCGGCTTCATAAATGAAAACTGCTCAGACTTACCCTATTGTTACTGGCCGTGAGTATCCTCAGACGTCTCCGACGGCAACACGACCCGACAGGGCGTGAAATTTCCGCTCCCAAAACCTGGTCTTATGATGTGGAGGTAAACTGTGGCCGTCTTGTCTCCTGTCGGCTCCGCTCGCTTGTTTTTTTTCGTACACTACCGCATTCGACTTCGGCCGGGTACGCGCTTGGAATTCGCGTTCACGCCATCACAGGAGCGCGCGCGCCCTTGGTCGTTATTTTATTTGCCTGTTAACTCTTAGATTGCGGCTTCTCATTAGTATGTTTTAAATAGAGGAAATTGTCCTAAATGTCATGAGTGATTTAGAGACTTAATAAACTCACAGAAGGGCACTTTTTTATTTAGTGATTTAATTATTTTTTGTACTTTACACGCCAATTCTAGGATATTTCTCAGGTAAATTCCTTTTTTATTACCCCCCCCCCATCTTAGTAAGCTTTATAAATAATCTTTTTACTTATAAAACTTGCTGAGTATGAAAATATGTTCCATGTTTAAAACCTTTGCTTTGACTGACAGCAGCTGCTGAAATTTGATTTTTTTTCTTTTTGGTGTTGTTACTAGTTCCTCTTTTGTACCAGCTGAGACACATGTCTGTCAGTTATTTACAAATAGACCGATACCGATCAAGAGCTGATACTGATGTTCCTCAGATACACAGTCAACAAAGGGTTTTCCCCCACAGGACCATACATGCAGTTCTGTCAAAGCTAAGTATTGAGTATTCCTTTCGTATGAACGGGAGTAAGTAGCCACTGCCAGATGCTGCTAATCAAATGCACTTGATTAACTGAGCATCTCTATAAAGGCATAAGTATTGGTAGTGTTTTAACACAATGCCAAAATCTTCTCAGTAGTGGAGGTCCCAGCAAACTCACTCCAAGGTTAGACCTTAGAGCCTTCAAAGAAAAATCAAGAACCCAAGAGCTACAGCTCAGACTCTATGGGCCTCAATTCTACAGTTCGCAAGTTAAATGTGAAAGTTAATGCAGTTCGTGCATAATTAAGAAACGACTGAACAAGTGTGTGTTGTGCTGCCAGAAGAAAGAGACTTCTTTCTAAAAAAGAAGATGGCAACATGCCTTAGTTTTGCAAAGCTGCATCTGAACACCCACAAGACTTTGGGAACGTCCTTTGGACAGACAAGACAAGCACAACTTAGCACAAACATCTCATATGAGTTCAACAAGCATACCGGTGGTGGTTTGAAGACTTGGGCTTTTTTCAGAGCTACAGGACCTGGGCACTTTGCAGTCACTGAATTGGCCGTGAAGTTCTCTGAATACCTAAGTAGTCTGTAGAGTCAAATGCGAGGCCATCTGTATGACAGCTGAAGCGTCACTTGGTGTCATGCAACAGGAGAAAAGAATCAAGGTGTTGCAATGATCTAGTCAAAGTCCAGACCTCAACCTAATTGAAATACTGGGGTGAGCCCACTAAAGAGCTATGTATACATTAGGTGTACTTAGTGTTTCCATGGGACTGCGTTGAGTCCTTGAAAACTTTTTCACATCTGCACTGCCTACTTGTTATAAAACAAATTAAAAACATATAAAAAACTTGATAAAAACTCCGAACAGATCTTTCACTAGTTTTATTTTAATCCATTTTTAATATAAAAGCATACTCAGACCAAAAAATAATTAGATTTTGTAAAGAGCAACACACACAAATACCACACACCATCAGGGGAAGCAGACTCAAACACTAGGCTTAAGAAGTCTTTGTGGAGAAGAGATTTCATCAGCGAGAGAACACAAAACCCTCAAACAGCCACACAAAGACAGTATTGCAGTATGACCAGGAGCAGTGAAATGCATATTTTAGGATAGATATTTGCCTTTTTCTTCTTTTCACAGCACTCTTATTTTTTTTTTTTTATAAGATAGTATGAGCTCTTTTTAACTTTAAAAAGCTACTTTGCACAGAGCCCATATGAGCAAGTTCAGTGTTTAATCTTTGAGTATTTGTCCTTTAAGTAAACATTCATTCTTCATGACCTGCTTTGCAATTTGAATGTAAAACAAAAAATGCAAAGTTCTGCAAAATATGTGTGAATGAATACACTTCATAGTTTTATATTATTACATTTTGCCCCCCCTCTTCTGGAGATAACCTCAAATAAACATCTACAGCATTCAGGAAAGAACCTACAGCAGAGTCAGACTGATGTCTCCAACTAAAGCGAAAAGCTCAGTGTTGAAAGGGCAGCAGAGCATCTCTGTAGACAGTTTCCTGTCTCTCAGGGAGTTTCATAAACTATCGTAGCGTCAGATCATTAAATGTTCTGCTGCAAACATTTTAGAACACGTTTAACAGCAGGTAGAACTACAAATGTGCTGAAAATTAAAGTTGTCACATCCTTGCTAAATGTAAAAACTTATTGGTATTTTAAAATTAATCAGAATCTCATGTAATGTTTACAGTAATGCAGTTTAATGCATTTCCAGTACATCTGGCTATGCTAGAAGAGATGTACGTTTCTAAAGTCCATGAGCATACTTTTCTAAATCAAATACAGCATGTGTATATCTGAACTTGCACCGTGACATTTCCTGTCATGTAGGTCAAACGTTTGTCCTTCACATACAGAAGAATGTTAGAGTGCCACCTTATGGACACTGTCTGTATTACTGCTGAATGCCACTTGGAGAGTAGGTGGGGAAGAAAATAATAATACAAGAAAACCAGAAGACATAATCACAAGGCTTATGTCAGCTTTTTGTTGTTTTGTTTTTTTAAAGCCATCATCCTGCTGGTTTCCATTCAGGATAGAGAACAGGCACATGCTCAGCTATTGTTGGTTCAGGAGCAATCTGGAAATCACTGTAGTGACCTCATCTCCTGGTGTGAAGAACTCATCTTTCATCGTTTTGTATACATCATTCTTCCAGTACAGTAAGAAGGCAGACTTCCAACAAGTAAAAATGTTTTTAAAAAAAAAAAAAAATGCATCATCGCTCTATTGCTTTAATCACTCACATCTTTCCATGAGAGGGAAAACATTAAGTTTACAGCAAAAACAAGCCTTTATCAGTCTTTTTTGGTACATCACTGAGGCAGCCCTTCCTTTCCCCCCCCACGCCCCCCTCTCCTAATTTTGGTGACGCCGTGTACCTGTCGACACACAGCACAAGAAAGTTAACTAAAACTGCTTACTGCTCGCTCCTGTCTGGGGTTCGGCTCCGTTACACATGAAGAAAATAACAAATCACATAACGAGAAGAAAAATAAAAATAAACAACCAGCAACGATAAGTCTGTCATCACTGCCGATGTCGAGAAGCGATGCGGTTAATTTCAGTACCAATTTCAGTATATCAGCGGATTTTTGGGGCCCAGAAAAGAACCCAGTTTACCGTGTGCAGAATTATTAAAGATTTGGAAAGCCAATGTTTTCTCAGCCTCTATTCAAACTATGCGAGGAAAGCCCCGGCCAACAGATTTGATGTCAGACTACACAAAGACGCACACTGTCAAACACACAAACACACATGCACATATTCTTTCACTGTGCAAAAATAGATATTTGAACACAGCTAACTATATATATATATATATATATATAGATAGATAAATCTACTGCTTAAGGTGGACGTTTTCTTTTTGTTCAAATCTGTGTTTCCCATACACATCAATCAAGTACTTGTCTAATAGAGATTTATACATCGTTTTTCCATTTCTATACATTTTCTATAAAACAGACATGGCTTTAAATTAACTGATGATGAACAGGCAATAAAATTCCTTCTTACCCCCCCCCCTGTGCACTTTTACAAAAAGAATCCATAAAAAGAAATTAAAAAAATAAAAATAAAATCAACCTAAATGATTAGTTGTGAGCTCGCTAATTTGTGACTGCGCTGGAGAAACGGGAACCAGAGGATACAGCATGCACCCTCCCAGGATGTCTCAAGTACAAATGACAGATCAAATTAGTTCATTATTGAGGACACGTGTGAATGATGGGTGCTCGCTGCAAGGCGGCTCAATGAGCCACTAACAAGGGAAGTTTACATTCAGAAGCCCCACTTGAAAAATGGCAAATTTAGTAACTGGTCTTTTCTGGTCTTAGTGCACAATAGAAAGTACCCCTGAGTTCAAGGACAGGGTAGGATCCACCACGAGTGGGTGGCTACTTGCCCGAGGATCTTCGAGGCTCTTTAGGCAATGACGGGGGCAGAATATGGTCCTGGGCCAACAGTGCTGTGGAAAGTTTGAGCTGAGAAGAAGAATGGCTTGTGTGTGGGGGGGATTATGGTAGAGTGGATAAGGCTCTGGTATAAAATGTCATGGTCATTCTTGGTCTCCCGCCCCCGGCTGAAACCCTCGTTTCATATTCATCGTAATTCTAACACAGCTAACACGCTCTAGGGCTTCATCACCAGGTTCTCGGGATTTTCAGATTGCACGGTACTGTGGTTTTACATTGTTTGTACTTTCTCCTCCCCTCTATCCCTACTTTGTAGGAAATTCCTGCTCAGTATTCCTTTCTCCTACAGTTCATCAGTCTGTGTCTGGACTACCCTGACCCCTCCCCTCCCTCTTTTTTATTTATTTATATTTTTCTCATTTATTCATGTTGATTTAGACTGCTCGGCTTTCGGGTCCACAGGCTTTGTGACTCATCCATCACAGCCCGTCTTTCTCTCCCATAGCAGAAAATAGCTGTGTTGGCCACTACTCAATATTAATCGATGGGAATTTTGTCTTCCAATTCCAGTGAGCGGTCCTCAGCAGGCTCCTCGCTCTTTCCCAGCTCCTGCAGCTGCTGCCGCCTCTGCACCTCTGCCTTCAGGTTCTCCAGATCCTTTGGGCTGAAAAAAAGAGAAGAAAAATCAACACACAACTCCCTAAGATAGAAGAAATCCTGAGCCTATAATTATCCCCATTCATGTCACAGACATGCTCCCAGAGCTACACACTAACCACACCTTCATCTCAAGGATTCAAGGAGCTTTATTGTCATTTGCATCACATGTTTACATGAGGTGGAACGAAATTAAATTATAAGTCATTATTTACTAGAAAGGATGTGGTCCAATATCAGAACAGGCACACAGATTTCTGTCTGCAGGATTTATGGTTGTATAGGCACACATACATCCACACAGCCTGTGTAGTTTAACACTTTATTATCCTAAGTCAAAGCATTTGTGGAAAAATTGGAGAACTATGGCTCAAGACTACTTTAAAAATAATACTAGAAAGTGTGACACCCTGGAAGCAAAATACAAAGCAATCAGGGGTAGCTCAAGACTTTTGCACAGTACTCTAATGGCCATTTTCTGGGAAGGATTAATTCAAATATAGGAAGTGAGTATAGTGACCCAAAAGAGTGAAATTTCTATAAAATCCTAACTAAAGCAAAGATTGGAAATGCAATCTTAACACTCTCGGAGAACCAGGGTTACGCTAATAACCAAATAATTTCCCCATTTATTCAGTTCCACAGTTTAATGTCTGAGGAAGCCACTGACTTCCTGCATGTTGTGAGATTACCAACCCATATACAAGCAACAAAGAGCAGTAATGCTCCTTTATGTGTCTACCTGAGAGGTATAAAGATGATGCCATTGATGATGTTGAGCTGGTCCAGGATGGTGGCCATGCTGGGTGCAGTGAACTAGAAAATCAGAGGGGGGGGGGAAAGGGGGGAACGAAAAAAAGCCATCAGCACTGAACATTTGGACATAATCAGCTGGAAGCACAAAAAAACAAAATGACTTGGAACATTTACCTTAAGAGGCATAATGCTGGCGTTAGAGCCATTTTTGTAGATCTCATTCATGGTTCTCTGCAGAGCTACAGCCTGCTGCGTGAGATACTTCAGATACTCAGAACTCTCCTTGGTCTTTTCATGGGCCTCGCCCATCTGACAGGAGGAAAAAAAACATTAGAAAAAAACTGCTTCATCACAACTGGTAAAGTTAAAGCGAATGAACTGCTGTGGAGCATACCTGGTTCTTATAAATGGTGTAACCCTCCTTCTCGTGCTGTAGTGCAGAGCGGAACTCAGCCTTGCTCTCATAAACTCTTGCAACCAAATGATGACTGGAAAAACAATAAGGCAGTTATCATACAAACCATCATGCCATTACTACTTTTATTCTAATGCATATGAATGAATAAATCAATCTACCCACCTGAGGGCTACTTTGAGGGACCGAGGTCCATGGTACTTTGTGTTGATGGTCAAAGCGTTCTCCAGGAATCTCAGAGATAAATCATACTCCATGACTCCATGCAGCACCAGCCCGATGTTACTCTGAGGAAGTCAGGAACAAAGTTCAATAATTTTGCTTTTTCCCCACCTTATGAGAAATAACATTAAAGCCAGCAGGCGAAGTCTGCACTCACGTCCAGCAGAGCCATCTCAGGGTGGTCCTCCCCACAAATCAACAACATGAGGTAACGAGCGCGGTACAGAAGCTTCAGAGCAGTCGAAAGCTGGTTGTTGGCAAAGCAATACAGGGCCAAGTGCATCTGACAAATGAAAGGAACAAACAAGTTTAGAAGGATATTAAACATGGTCAACATGACAAACATGAGTTCCTCCTCCATCTGGTAGCTTACATATTCTTGAATTGTGTTGGGATGCTCGATGCCAAGGACTCTTTCACTCATCAGAACAGCCTTTTGCTGATTGCTGAGAGCCTGCAGGTAAATAAATATTAAAAAAAACAAAAAGAGCCATTCAGCACCACAAAAAAAATCAGCATGAGCTTATATATATATATATATATATAAAAAAAAGGAAGCATTGCACATCTGTGCCTACCTCAGGGTGATCTCCCAGGATGTAATTAAGGCGCGCCAGCAGGCGCAGGCAGGAGCAGATCTCTACGTGCATGGCTCCGTACACGTTGTTGAAGAGATTAAGAGCCTCGTTGATCAGCTCACATCCTTCCTTCAAGAAACCTGAGGGCAGTATAATGATTAATTTAGATATATTAGTACAAAAGGAAGAAGGGTTAATGCTCTGAAAAAACGTTTCTTTTTTTTTTTTTTACAGCATGCAAACGCCACCTTGCTGCACTTTGGCCTGCCCACTCTGGAAGAAGTGGAAGGCATCTGTGGCTTTGGGGTTTACATGTTTCACCACAGGGAAAATGTTCAGGATGTCCTCTTCTGTGAAGGCAGGCTTATGGCGGCTGTCGAAGTTATACTCCTTTATCAGGATCTAAAAGTCAAACAAAACACAAGTCTAAGAAAGGATGTGATGACCATTCGGTAAAGTGAGGGTGCAGTCACTACATAGTAAATGAGTTACCTGTATGCCAGTTTTGACTGAAATTTCTCTGAGCAGAGTGGTTTTCTGGAGGCCGAATTTCTCCACAACTTGGTCGACACTTTCACTGTGCAATGAGTAAATAGGTTTTATTTAGAAATACATACAAAGTCTCTACATTTGTTTGAGTTTAACAGGTGGGGTCCTTACCACTGTAGGGTAAAGTGATAATAGCTCTGGGCCTCAGAGGCAATGTTCTTCCACAGTTCACTCGGTGTCAGGCTGGCCCACGCCGTGTTGTCGCCACCGCCGGGGACCCTGTTGCGACGTTTGCGGTTTTTGCGGCGTGACACCAGTTCATCGGGAGGCAGGTGGGCAACGGCGTCTGGGAAGGAGCTCAGGAAGCAGTTTAGGAAATGGCTCACAGCAGCAGAGAGTGCAGACAGCTCTACACCCTGCAGGAAAAAAAGCACAGATGAAAATAAACAACAGTTCGTTGATGTCTTTAAAAGAGAGCAGAAAATGTTGCACCATTAAATTTAACTAACCTGGAGGTACGTCTTGAATATATGTTTTGCACATCTGGTGATCAGCTCAGTTATTCCTATTCTCTAAAAAAAACAAGAAGAATTTTATTTTATTTTTTAAAATTTAAACTGTGTGCTGATTCTATTGGTCAGATTTGAGGAATCAGACTCACATAGATGTGCTCCAGCTGGGCTTTGGCAGGAGTCTTCTCCATAAACTCCAGGACTGTGCCCAAATAGCGAACATTGATGCCTCTCTGGTGCAAAGCCTCCGTTAGTGAGGCTCCATCCATGGGCAGAGCGCTGTGGTCCAAACAGTCCTTCACCTGGTTATGAAAACACACAAACATGGCTTTAAACTCAGACACAGACAACCCTACGTGATAATTTGATGTGCAAGCATTTACCGAACAGACTTATCATTGTAACAATGAAATTAGGCGCACAAGTCCAATATAAAAACAGTTAAGTGCAGAAAACTACTAATAAAATACCATAAATATGCTTTAAATTTCCACAAAAACAGAAGTAGCATATCTGAACACATGCTCTGAATTATCATCATCAGACAAAGGGTAACAGTTCATACAATGACCAGGACTGAGAGCAGTCCTGATGATGTTTTGCAGTCTTTTGGGGTAGTGCGAGGTGGTGACATCTTCTATGGCAGCTAAATATAGGAGGTCCTACTAATCTGATCCCTGCAGTCGTGAAATTTAATTTCCCCCCCCCCAAGTAGTTTACAATTAAAACTTAATTTGACTCTCTCTATAAGAGTCTCCCAGCTGCAAAGGTTTTATACACCGGAAAAGCAAAAACAGAGTTGGTGAATAGTTTAAGCAGAACACATTATGCTTTAATCATTTCATGTTAGACACTACCTGGGCCTTCATTTCCTTAGCCACACACAAGCCTTCATCGGGGAGTTTAACATGATCATGATGTCCTTATAATAAAAGGCAAAAACTATTTGAATCCACACTCTTCACACACCAAGACAACTCAGCTGGATGTTTGGGAGCAGAAGCGTCACTGACCAGTGTTGGGACCTGACAGGAAACCAGGAAGGCAGCTGCGTCTTTGAGTAGCTGCTTCTGCTTCTGGATGTCGTCTGCACTCTCTTCAGGGAACCGTACTCCTGGTTCAACACCACAAACACAATCATTGCTTTTTGTTGTATTCACTTTTGAAGTAATCGGGAATCAAATGTGGTAGTGTCTCCACAACTCTAGTTTTCCACTTCCAAAACTTAAAAGCTTCACACAATGTTCATGGAAAAGATCATTTCTGACTTCCCAGCTATTTGTTTCTAATAACCCAAATAATAGGAATCATCATGTTACCTGGGGAGAAGATATCAGGGTTGAAGCGGATATCGAAAGCTGTGTCGCTGATGGAGCCCACTGCCTTACAGGCATTCAGGACCACTTCACGGCTTTTGGGGTCTGTTTGTGTTTGGGACCAAAGACAAAATAAAAAAAATAAAAAAATACAGAAATGTTAAAGGTGATTACGTCAGACAGGTCATGTCAAAATGTGTAAAGATCAGTTCTGATCTGAACTGTTCTTTCACCTCAAACTATCTGTTCACACATCAATACACAACAGCAGTCCAGTTTATTTCACCCTGGTCTCAGCAGAGCACCCACCACCATTCGATCAGGACCACAAACCCTCGCTCTATGATTGGCTCACACAGATTACACAAATCACCCACCACAAGGTTATTTCTGCATTTCAAAACACCTTTGGATTAATCAACACAGCACCCGATTATGGAGTTATTGGGTCAAATCCTGCTGCAAAGGGATCACAGGCTGGGAATGGGTTGTTTTGAGGGGGGGCACTATTCCCTGCTGCAGGCTGAGGACTGAACGGGGACAGCTACTCAGGTGGAAAGAAAACACTATGATCCAGTAATTTTAGAGTTCTATTGATCCATTTCTTTTTTCTATGCCGTTATCCACCAGAGTAGCTCTCTCTGTATTGTCCTGGCCCCAATTTTTGGGGGGGTGGGCACGGCGGTGTTTCTAAACGTACCAATACTAGATCCATCTTCGGCAACTAAGGTCTCCGCTAGCTCTTTGGCCTGAGCTAATCCTGGAATACTTTCCTCAAGCTCCTTACCCTCCAATGGGCCCTTGCATTCCCCGTTCTGGGTGGCTGTGGGGTCTACAGGCCCGTTTGTTGTGGGCTTCGAGGAGTTCTCTTCGCTGTCAGTTCCTGTTTGTGAGGCAGCAGTGGAAGCATTGTCTGTCTGGCTAGTGCTATCTGTGGAGATGTCTGTTGCTTTAGAGGAATCTGTGGCATTGGTCTGTGCTGTGTCTGTCTGGGTCGTGTCGGCTTTGCTCTCTGCGAGTGTTTCGGAGGTTTCTGTGATGGCGGGTGTGTCAGTCTTGATAGAGTCCCTGTTGGCTTTATGCTGCATCAGCTGTAACGCTGCCATCTTCATGAACAGGAGATATCTGAAGAGGAAGACAAGAAAAAGTAGCAAAGTCACTTCTATATAATCAGCACAGGTTTCTAGAAAACAGCTCATTATTGCTGCACAACAACAACAACACAAACCTGTGCTCAACAAAGGCTTCGATGAGCTCTTGGCGTAGACAGGCCAGGCGATGGCGGTGCTGGCGGGGGAAGCCTAGACGCTGGCACTCTGGAGACAGCTCCACTCCATCCACAGGCAGGAAGTTGAGGTCAGGGGGGAAGGTGCGAAGAAGGTCGAGAATATAGTGTCTGCCGTCATTCCCGATGATGCCTTTGCATTCGACAGAGGAGCACAGCTCCACCGTGTCATTCTTCTCATTCAGCACGCTGTGCCGCTGGATCTAAAATTTAACGTACAAAACATACACAGTATCTGTATGTAGACACGAGTCAGCTTTATTATTGTCACACAGTCACGCTTCTTACCTTTAGTGGCCTACTGGTCTTTTCCAGCAGTTCCAGGTATTTGCCGTGAGACACAACAGTCTTCCCAAAGTCAATGGAGCCGTAGATGACGCTCTGCTCCTGCTCACGCTCCAGGATACCTGGGATGATGGACTGGGCGGTGACACGGTAGCCTCTGTAGTCCACCACTACAGTTCCCAGAGTGTAAAGACCTTCCACATCCACCCCGCTGTAAGCTCGTACTCCGTTCAAGTCATTGGTGGGTGCAGCGTGGGCGGCCGCATCGCCCCCCAGCTCACGATAGTGGTCCCGCACATCGAAGCCCAGACTGAAAAAGATGTTGTTCCAGATGAACATCTGCATCCGAGTTTCTTCACCAGGGTTGATGGCCATTACGTTGCCATCAATTACAGCCATGGCACCTCGAGTGGCAGCTGCTGCAAAGTCACTGTGGACCTGCAGAAAGTAAAAGGTTTCACATTAAATTAGCATCAGCATAAGCAACAAGGTGGCTAATTAAAGAGCTGCAGAAAGTAAGACTTTAAACCTTGAATATAGCCCTCTCCCTTAGCAGCCGCTCAGGCAGGTTCTTCCGGGGCAGCTCTCTGGTAGTCTGCAGCTCTTCGTTCCAATCTCTGGTCTAGATGCACAACAAGAAAATTAATATTGGAAAAAACTTGAAATCATTCCTCTTGATGATCTGCTGCTGGATTCAGCGCCTTGACCTGTCCAGGGATGTGCTCCTCATAACCCAGGCGGGAGGTGTATGCGTCCTCAGCTCGAACACAGTCCATTGCATGGTCTACTTGCGGAGCAGTCCAGCTGTATACTTGGAAAGGCGTGGCTATCCTCTCAAACGGGTGTCTCTGGACTCTGCAGCAGTAAAAGAGAAACCATAATTTCCATGGTTCATAATTTAGCTGCAAATATCATTTTTCGCTTGCTGTGAGAGGGTCCTAAAACTAATAACTGATGAAAATCACAGTCTTGATATACAACTTTTATTTGCAAAGACTCATTTGTTATAAGATATTCAACTGCTGTCCCCGAATGTGAAAGAACAAAAGTGCAAAGTAAGTAGAGGTCAAAAAAATGACTTTTGTTCCTTTGGAGGGGACAAAAAAAGAAAAGAAAAAAAGAAAACAGCTCACAATCAGCATCAAGGCAAGTGAGAACAACAAATTACCGTAACTGTCGGGCTATAAGCCGCTACTTTTGCACAAGCTTTGAACCCTGCGGCTTTTAGTCAGGTGCGGCTTTTCTATGGATTGTCCATGATTTTTGTCATATCGTAAGACGATTTGTTTTGTTTGTTCCGCTGTTGTACGGCACTACGTTGCCTGGCGGAAGCGTATGTGATCAGACACATAGTATCGGGGTTCAAGAGTGGTATGTTGGTCACATGTCCGTCCGCCAGGCAACGTAGTGCCGTACAATGTTATGCCCAACTCCACCGGTGGAATCTGACAGCGTGGAAAAGTGTGAAAACATGGTGTGCTGTAGGTTATTGTTATGTACTACATTTGTTACTCATTTATGAAGCACAGTACATGTTTTGTACTTGTAATTACCGCTACTTGTACATATACCTAAAAAGTTATGCAAATATGTACCCATAACTTGTTTTTCAAAATATTAATAAAAGGGGTGTGTCTCCAAACAGCCGTCTCTTTCCTGACAATTCGCTTTGTGCATATTCTCTTACATATGATAAGTCACCATTGAAACACCTGCGGCTTTTAGTCAGGTGTGGCTAATGTATGTAGAAAACAGGATTTTTCCCCTGATCTTAGCTTGTGCGGCTAATATCCGGGTGCGCTTTGTAGTCCGGAAAATACGGTAAGTAAAAGAATGAAATGTTTTCACCTTTTCTTTTGCAGGGCGGTGAAGTTCTTCTTGAAGGCAGGGCTGATCTGGCTCAGCAGCTCAACTAGAGAGTGGCTCAAGAAGCTGGGATTAGCTGGTTTGGGGTTGAAGGTGTAGGTAGTAGACCTGAAAAGCACACAAGCACATTGTCATCATGATTCACACTAATATAGCTGACTGAGGAGTTCATGATCTGCAGCCTGCTAAATGGAGAAAAAGCATCTATATAAAAATACGAAAAAGAAACAACAAACTTGCTGTTAAATATCCCCGCCACACTACAAAGCACTAATACATGAAAGCAAGCTTATGACTGAGCAAACAGCTGGAAGGGGAAAAAAAAGAAAACATAAAAAAAATAATAATAATAATAATCTTCATCCTAACAATGCAACATGTTTCCTAGCTGTCCACCTAAACAAACTGCATCAACATTTCCTGTTCTATTTTAAGGAAAAACACTACAGGAGAAAATGTGCCAACTATAATGAGCTGACTCACAGCATCGCTTCTTACATCACCTAATTGCAGACTAACTGCTGCCAAATGTCTTCACCTAATGGCATCTTGAATTATGAATACACGCTGCAGAAACGGTGCTGCCAAATGCTTAAACTGCACTTTAACGGCAGAGAGTCAGCTGCAGTAAGAACACAGAGCTTGTAAGGAGACACCAGGCCCAAACATCAACTGACTGGTTGAGGTAGAAGCCGCGTGTTGAGGCAGTGACGCTGACATGGCGCTCCTCCACAGTCACAATGTACAGGTACATGAGGTCGCCGTGCATCTTCCTGTTTCCAGGTGGAGGGTTCCACCCGCTCATGGTCAAGACCTTCAGGCACTGCATGGGCTGTGGAGCACGTAAAATAAGAAGATGAATCTCAAGTTTAAAAGCCGAACTTACTTCCCCCGTTTAAGTCCCTAAATGCCTTCCTCACCTTCCAGTCCTTATTCTGTGGCTGGAGGGGCACAAGGGGGCGCTCTTTACTGCCGGGCAGGATGTGCTCTGGAGGGGTGCAGTCTATCTGCTCCATCTCGCTGCCCTTTTTCTTCCGCTTTCCAGTTTCTATAAGCAAAGGAAGAAGCAAGAAAGGAAAATTGGTGGATTTCCATCGATTAAAACAGCATGCATGCACACACACAGGACTAATGTGAACACATAAACCTTATTCAGTCACTCTTAAAACCATCTGTTGATCGCTTAACACAAGGGTGTAAAACATAAGGCTCGGGGGTTCAGAATCGGCTCGGCAAAGACTCAATCCCAATGGACGGCTACGGGAACTTTTTCTGTCACGCTGACAGGTTTCTTTCATTTACTGCAGCAGCATTTCTTCATTATGCAGAAAACCCTAACCTTTTCCTCACATTAAGATATCTTTGAGATTAAATGTGTAGTCAAACTTCTTTAGACTGAGAGAAAGGGAACTTTCACTCATCCAACCCACTTAAGATCAAGTTTGACATGTCTGAACAAACACATTGACTGAGAAGGGAGTCTTAGATTTTCTGCTTTTCATTTCTAAGCTGCATGCTGTTCGATTACTGCAAAGGCTGCAGCAGTGCATGGTGCAAATTCCAGAGCTGGGAAACATTTTACTCCCGTCTTAAAAATCCCCTGAAACAATTTAATCCTCAGCTCTTACGTATGAATAATATACAAGCAGTTTAAAAGGCGATTTCACTGAGAAGCAGGGGGGAAACCTCCTAATGCCAACAACAGTCATTCATTTATCTCCCGACTGCAAAGTAGGTTTTAAAATCCATCACTGAGAGAAGAAAACCGCGTGTCTGTCTCTCAGTGCAAATACTTCGCAAGAGAGTGTCTCTTTCATTAAGGCTCCCAGAAAAATAAACCCAACTTGTCTGAATGACAGAAAACCAGCAAGGTGATAGGATTGAAAAGAGTTTTAGGTCATATTCATGGTAAACGTGTTTGCCTTGTGTGATTTTAACCCGTGCACCAACTTGCTGGTCTGCCCTCAACTTCATTTTGTCTCCATATTTTATTCCCCTGCTCTTGTTCCATCTCAGAAACGGGCATTTCAGCTCGCGTGCTCTTTGTTACGCTCACACGCTTCAAAACAGTGTAATACAAGGTTTATCAATAATTTAACAGAGTTTGTCTCAAATGTGCTGAAAGTCCAACTAAACTACACAAGGTCCGGCTCTGTAAGCAGGAATCACAGTCTTTAAAGAAACTGTTGATCCTTAGTGTCATACCTCCAAGATCTCCATCAGTGAAGATGCTCAGGAAAGAGAGAGAGTTGCAGTCTACTCCGTTGTAAGCGTCAGAAGGGTCCAGACTCTTCAGCAGGTCTCTGATGTGACGCACATGGATTCGAGCTTCACGCACCGTGTAGGGCTCTGAGGGAAACAAAACAAACAGCGTGGTTTAAAACCCAACTAAGCAACATGTATACTGAACTATTATGAGTGCTAGACGCTACTCAAAATTTTGCATTACTCACAACTTTTTGGTTTTTAAGCAACAAATCAATTTATCCCCCAAATTAAGTGGTTAACACAAGAGCATTTTCGCTCATATCAGCACAAGTGTCTTTTCCAATAACTTAAGGAATACCAGCCCAAAACACACCCCACAGAAGAATTTCACTTGTGTCTGCAAAGATCACACAAGTAGCCTCCTGCCAGCCAGTTCTGTACATTATCATCAAGTCGACTATTTTTGCACTGCTTCAGCATAGGTAACAGACACACTCTGAAACATATTCCTCAGATACAGCGTCACTGACGGGGAATACTTCAGTTTGGCTTTTGAGGCTGAGTTTAAACACTAATAGGAGCATATTCATCTCTACTTTTGTTAACTGCAAAACTCAAACATTGGCCTGAGCGTCACTCTGGGTCATTTAACGCTAGCTTTATGTTAACGTCTTGTATTTAGCCGGACCCCTGACAAGTGTGACAATATGTATGTATGGATGGATATGATGATTAGAATTGAATGCGATTTCCGATTTTAGAAACACCTTTTCCATTACATAAGTGGAACCCTTAGCAGACCCACGTGTATAATGCCGCAACATGACAACCAACAGATTTGTATATAAAACGGTTTATCAGGATCAGGCTGCACCTGCCAATACTGTCTGAGTTCCACCTGGTTCTCCTGCAGGTTTCTTCCTGTTAGTTTTTCCTTTCCACCGTCACCAAAGTGCTTGGTCATCATGATTCTCTCTTAAACAGATAGCCATGAATGTAGTGCCCTTCTAAGTAAATGGAGAACAGCTCTCAGGAAGTCCGTCCAAACTTTGCACGACAAGACCTGGTGCTTCAGAATCTTACCTTCCACCACTTTGAGCACCGATCCCTCCTGCAGACCCTCGATAGACTTGAGCTCGGCAAAGTTGTCCAGCACATTTCCATCCAGCTGCAGAGAGAAGCAGGTGCGGTGGCAGGTGTCCTCACGGTCCATCAAAACCTGGTGGATTTCCTGCACCATTTCCTGGGGGGAGACCTGATGTTGGGGAAGAAATTAAAGAAATGAAGTGACACAGAAATGAGGAGGAGCAGCAACATTTAGTTCACGTTACAAACTACATCATCACAGACATGACTTGAAAGTCCTGCAGTTTTCTTAAAGAACTGCAGCTTATCCTCACCTGCAGGTCAAATGGCTCTGTCCCCGGAGCCTGGATCTTTACAGTGAAGCCTGTGTCCTGGATCACTATCACTTCCTGTTCGTTAGACTCCTCCCCTCCGTCTGCCTCGCCATTCCCATCCTGCTTTGAGTCCGTCTCCTCCGTATGCTCATGAGCCCTGTCACCATTTACCATGGCTGTGTCTGCACTGTGCCCTTTAATGAAAAAAAGTGCATAGATCAAGCTTTATGTTAAGTCACAAGACATATCTACTAATAAAATATTCAACTACTTAAGGCTTTATTTAAAATAACACAACCAACTCCCTTTGTCAGAAACGACAATTTATTAACTTGTTGTTCTCCTCTCACCCTCAACCTGCATCTGCCCCTCCCTGAGGCTGATTCTGCTGGAGGTTTCTTCCTGTTCAAATGGAGTTTTTCTTTCCCACTGTCACCAAGTGCTTGCTCACAGGGCTTTGCCTGATTGTTGGTGTTGTGTCTGCATTATGCCCCTTAAAATATAAATGTCCTCAAAGCAACTGCTGTTGTTATAGAAAGAAAAAATTGAATTGAACTCAATTGTTAGTTGGATAAACCATTTACAAAAAAAAGAACAAAAAAAAAAAGTTGATCATCGCTTTCTGAATTTTCCACTTTAATACAAGTGTGATCTTAATTAGAAAATATTGTAAAATAAATGTTGTAACCCAAAAAGTGACATTTGGCGAACTGGTGACAAAATGCAGCCGTAAGCACACTGAGTATTAGCACATTCTTCCTTTGAATTTCTTATGAGTAATTGAAAACTGTGTTTTTCCTGTTTGGGAACTTGTAAAAACCAGTTCCAATCTTTTCAATAGTCATGAGGAGGCTGGACAGAAGCACTGTCTCGGTTTCAGAACTGTTAGAGTCTTGTTTCCACTAATGAAAGGGGGAAAAATATTTTCCATCATAAATCAACATTTCAAGTGAAGAAGTTTGACTTAATAACTCAACCTTCTGAAAAAAAAAAAAATCACTAAAACAGAATATAGCATTTCTGGTTATTGTTTTGTTCCAGTAACAATCTCAATCAAGCTAACATGCTAAAATGCCACCACAGACTACACTACAGGCTAATTCTGCTAACACTGAAAGGACAAAGGGACAATTGTTATGCACTCTCCAAGTGAGCTCACCTTGCCAAACAGCATGACACAGGAATTTATATGTAGTTACAGACATATGGTACTACAGCTGTCTGGTGATGCTAAACTGTGTAAACTGGATAAGTATATTCAAATGAAACAAAGACGTGTATTTGCCCTTTCTTCCACATCAATAATAATAATAATAATAATAATAATAATAATAATAATAATAATAAAGCTACTGCTGGGTCCTACCTTGTCACAAGGGTTCAACACTGTGGCCCTTCGCATCCGAATTCCAGCTAGAATCAAAACAGTGACCCTTCACTTGTCAAGTGAATGCGTTAACCACCACACTATGTAGTTATTGTGTAAACTGCACCACATACAGGAGCGTTCCTGTCAAAGCCTCGAGGCCATTTGCTGGGTAACACTGTATTTATGCTATAATTTATTTGTTTACAGCATAATTTAGACAATGCACCTCTTTGGCTGCCATCAGTGACTCAGCCATCATGTCAACACTAACTCACTTTTCTTCCACATAAGCAGCCAGGTCACAAATAAGGAAGGCAATCCTCCAGGCCCAGATGATCTTACCGATATCCTTATAAAATATTTATTTACGGTTGAGCAGAGCCACGAAGCTCAGCTATACCATGACAATGCTGTGGTTTTGCTTCCCTGAAGTCGACAAAGACTAGAGGATTAGCGTGAGGGATCTTCTCAACACTCAGATCTCTCTTTTTATTCAAATATCAACAGTATTCAATTCAATTTTATTTATATAGCGCCAAACCACAACATAAGTCGCCTCAAGGCGCTTCATAGATACAGAGAAAATCCCAACAATCATATGACCCCCTATGAGCAAGCACTTTGGCAACAGTGGGAAGGAAAAACTCCCTTTTAACAGGAAGAAGGGGGGCCATCTGCTGCGACCGGTTGGGGTGAGAGAAGGAAGACAGGATAAAGACATGCTGTGGAAGAGAGACAGAGGTTAATAACAGATATGATTCAGTACTGAAAAGACCATGCTGACAATCATAACTGACTTGAGTCACTAATGATTTATCTGAAATTTGACAATAAGTAACCAGCTTCGTCTAGAAAAGAAAACGCTTGGTTTCCAGCAGTGACCTGCTGAAACCTACACCGTTGCAACACTGCAGGGAACTCAGCCAGGAGGCCTCGAGGGAGGATTTCACCATTCACGAGAGGGAATTACGGGTCACTTACATGGATATCTGCTTATACCAGCACTGTGACAAATAATCCAGCAGTTGCTTTACCTTTTTATAGAAATCAGAGCCACCAAAATTATTCTCTGTAAATTCTCTGTAAAATAGGCCAGCTGAGAAAAGTCTGACAGCTCCTCTCATTATACAGACGACGGATGGATATTATTTTCTTGAGTAACAGTTAAGGTGAGAGGAAAATGACATGAATAAAAATGAGCTAAATTAATTCAAAGGAACAGGGGCCCACTGCAAGGACATCAGGCAAATGTTTTCTCTCACTGACCTACAACTGCTGCCAGCCAGCGCGTCCTTGCTGCCTGTCAAGGGTAACGCGATGTCAGGGTTACTCGGAGAGAAGGGGCCAGAGGGAGGGGAGGGGCTGGACCTGGACCGCGACCCCGGGTGGGGAATGAACGCAGTGAGACAGTGGGGGAGAGGTGGAAGAAACGCATGGGAGAGGAACAACAGGCCACGCTCTGAATAACAAACATAACTGCTTCAGGGCAAGTGAGCATGCGGGCCAACAATGTCGGAAAGAATGAGGGATCTGTGCAGAAACATTTCATCTCCGAGTTGAGCTCTATTTTGGCTCACACAAGTGACATGATGATGACTAACTTCTGAAATATTACAGACCAGATAGGAAGGAAATAACACAAAGTATTAGGCCAATACTGCACTTCTTAAGTCCAGCTTCTTAAAATTTGATTTGCGGCCTCATTTTAAATTAAATTTAATTAAATATCTTCAGGTAATGAATGGTTAGTGATACAAAACAAGTCACTTGAAGAGGTTATCTCTGGATCCTGAAGCTGAGAGACTGTGATAAGAGGCACTTTACAGATTTTCTAATGTTTCATTAACCAAAAGAAGATCTACAGACATTAACGGCTGTCTCTGATCATTTCGTTTTGATTAATTCATAAGAAACAAAGAGGGGAGTTGGCGTGCAATTGGCTAGATTAAGTCTGTAGATATCAGATTCATCATCGCAGAAACCCAACAGTACAAAGCACTATAAGTGATAAGACTAATGATGAGGTTTTCCAGTGGACAAAGCATTGCAAAACAGACCTATTCTCTACAGTAGAGGGATTAAAGTTCATCAGAAAGTAGGTAATGAGGCAAAAGGAGGCGGGAGAAGCAATGTTAAAACAGTGAAGAGGAAATGTTGCATGCTGCTTTACTTCAGTGTAGAAATAGAGATGCACTACCTGGTTAGAGGTGCATAGATTCCCAAATGCAGGAGAAGTACCTAATGAAGTGGGTCAATTTTCCACTCAGGGTGTACATCAGAAAGTCTGCCAGAAATCCTTGAGAATGACTACTTAATTTAATACAAGTATGATAAAATGTCTCATTCACTGGCTGAAATCAGACACCAATTCTTTTAGTATTACTTCATCAGCTAAACTGTAAATTCGTGCTCTATTTGTAGAGAAATATATGACAAAATATGAGTTTTACAGTGTAATGATGTGTTACTTTATAATAAACCTCTAAACATATCTGTTTACCTAAAATAAATGCTGTGATTTCTCTTTTGGCATTAAGTATCATCCCATCTAATTAGACAGTGCTAACTTGACCAGTAATTGAAAGGCAAGTTTCAGTGGAACAATCAAACCGCTCTAATCAGAGTCAAATAATTAAAAGCAGTGATTAAAACCATGTATAGGAGTGGCCATTAAGCACTGTAGCAAATGCTCAGACTGGTACAACGCCCAAGTCCTCGGTAAGGAATGAAGATCAAGGATTTTGATTTGGTTTTTTGGTTTTTTTTAAAGAAAAAAAATTATTAGATACATTCAAATACTAACAAACAACTGAAGATCAAACTGAAAAAGATTCAAACTTAAAACTCAGGGCTGAACTGCACTCTCTTGTTTACTCCATTAGCCTACTTCTCCTGATAAATGATAAAGCCAGCCAAGCGGCCATCTAGCCACTCCGCAGCCCTTGACACCATCACCATGGCAACATTAACCAGCCTGTCAACACCGAAAACACCACCTAGCACACAAGGCCCCTCTGTAATCGAGTTTGATGGACCACAAGGTGGCATCCTTCTGGTGGACGGCCACACAAAGACTGAAATCTAAAAGTCTGCCAGCAGATTCTCCGTTGCTGTAATTTGTTCCCCGAGCATTGAATGATGCTAGAGACTTTTTTTTTGTGGTGCAGGCTTGAGAGGGGGCAGCTTGAGTCACAAACAGGATCCATGAGTCCAACTCATAATACGATCACTGAAATCAAAATCCTTCCGGCAAACAATGACATATTTCTGCCATAGCTCCAATAAATGTCTGTTTTTTTTTAATGAAATTATACATATACATATCCGTAGAGACAAAAAATAAATAAATCCATTCAACTCTGAGCCACAAACTACAAAGACAACGAGACAAACAGCAGAGGTGTGGAAGATGCCAAGAGAGATGAGCAATCGAGGCAGGGTGTCAGTGATTGCTGGGATTAGCAAGGGCACTCTTCCACCCACAGGAGCATTAAGCTCCTTAAAGCCACAGAGTGACCCTCACCTCGACCTGTCTGCTCAGCCACGTGCTGTTAGTATGTCTAGTTACAACTACTCACTGAGACGCATCAACCTCGTCACCATTGCCCAGTGATTACATTTGCTATTGATTCTTGATTAGTCCATGAGTGGTTTGGGATGTAAAATGTAATTTTAAATTAAAAGTGCTTCAAGTGCTGACATGTGAAGTCACACTGCTTGGTTAATGCTGGATTTCTGGGGCTGAAGCAGATATAGCTTTCCAAGAACATCTACAAACATATGAACCTGCTACAGTTATACTGGAAAGAAGAAAATCACAAGCTTAAAATACAGCTGGACTAAAAGTCCATGTGCCATCAGCTGTGATGCTACTCTGCAACACGTGCTGCCAACAGTAGATATGTGCTGACACAACTTCCCCAAGAAGGGAGAAAGCTTGGAGCTGTACTGCTATGTTCATGAAGCCCATGTGACACCCAGGCTCCAATAAACACTAAACGACTGGAAATAGGAAAGCTTTAATTACACGAGAGGATGCCTGGCAGCTCAATCTTTAACATCAATTCCTCTTCCTCCGTACATGTCAAAATCATCTCAGCTTCTTGCCTCTCTAACATCAAGCTGAAAAACCACAACTCATTTCTAATCCCATCCCTCCCAATGACTCAAAACTATGGTTTAATACACTGTTTACGTCTGAAATGCAGTTCCATGTGGGATTTTATAATGAGTGACACACACACAAAACCACAGCTCTTCATCATCGAACCGACAAAGGTTCACTCCGGACAGCTGGAGGAATCAGATACTGTGCAATGAGACATTTCAAGGTCCGGGCAGGCTGCAATGAACTTCAGAGCTGTGGGAGTCAAACTTCACCAGGTGACAGCCCTTGCATTAAATCTAACCCCGCCTGCACCCACAGCACTCCGCCGCTGCTCCCAAACAACCTTCACCTGACAGCTTTTACTCACCAGCTCGCGTATTATTAGAGTAACCTTCCCCCTCACCGTGCGCACACCACCATCATGACTTATCGGCTATAACCAGCTTCCGCTTCCCGGTCGAGGAGGAACGCTCGACCTAATCAGGACGGGGGGGGTGAAGATGGGGCCGGTTAGAGGACTAACACCGACCACCTCGCGATTCAGACACCTCACGCGTATTTTTTTTATAGCTCGGTACCGACGAACATGTCTGCTACACAAGCTGTGTGATACACATACCACCCCCAGTAAAAACGAAGGCATGTGCGCGACCCCCCCGTGTTCGTGTAAGCAGTGTGAAGCGCCACTGAAGGTGACCTTCAGTTACCGAACATGTGCGTCAGCGCGAGTTTGTGCTACGGCAGCTACTGCTGCTTTATGTGCTCTAAACAAACAGGCGCTACATAGGCGCCCCGTGCTTTACTCGAAAAACCATAGCTCCCCGTGATCACGTTTGGTTTTAAGGCACGAGACAGCTTTGACAGCGACAGGAGCGCCTGTGTGCTAGTTAGCTAGCTAGCTAACCGGGGCGCTAACTAGCTTCACGCTGAATGGGACACGCTAAAGATAATGCTAGCATTACCGGCCAATGTGTTTAGGTTAGCCTGAGCAGCTTGCAGTGTCAGGTTGAAGTCCGAGCCAGCTGTGAATATAGCAGCGGTCCCAGTCGAGTGAAAAAAAGCATTAACACCGGACAGTTGGTTAGCAGGTGGGTGCAAGGTGGAACCTTCAAACTTCCAGAGATGGAGGGGTAAAGCAGCAGCACTACGCTCGGTCTGAGGACCTTTAAGTCACACAGCGCAGCATGGAGGTGAAAGTCACCACATTTGGTGCATGCTGCACAGCTTCAGTAAAGCAGACATTCAGTCATGCTGTATGTATGTTGATTCTGCATGCACGATGAGAGCAGTGGTGTCTGCAGCGGACTTACCACAACCACAGGACTCTTTTAGAGGTGCCTTTCCTGCTCCTTTACCATCCTGGGCTCCATCCGCGGGATCTGCCGGATTGCAGTTAGGCACTGACGCCGGGATGTCATCTGTCTTGCTCACCATGGTCGGCAGTCAGTGTGTCTCTGTGACAGAAATCCCCCAGCAGCTTTGCTCGAATATTTGTGTGTCTCTGTAAATGAAACGCAAATAAACAAAGACAAACTACAGCTTCTTCTCTGGCTGTCACGAGCTAGCTGGCTACATACGAGGGGTACAAGCTTACAAAAACAAGTCTACAGAGGAAGGACAGTGCTGTACATAGTGCCGATCACACGTGGTTTTCTCCTCCCCTCCTCTTGACCTCTTTGCCTTTGCGTTGCACCTCCCCACCTGCTCCGCGTGGCGCTACGGAAAGCCACACGCGACAATTCTTGCGCACTCACCAGTTTTTCATTTCTCTTGCACTAAAAGAAAACATGGACACATGGATGGAGAGAGGAAAACACGAGCATTTAAAACCCTAATCACATTAATGACCCGGTGTTTCTTCTTATGTGGAAGTGCATAGCATTTTATATCTTGAGGCATTCTTCCACATTTTTTATTGGCTGTACTTTGCAAAGCCTTCACACAAAATCCCCTCAAAATGGTCAGAAAATAGAATAATAGCTGAAATAACAATTTTAATAGTTATTTGGATTAGGTGCTGTAAAACGAATATTTCACCCTCTCCTAATTTTTGTTTGACCTCTCTGCTGTAAACCTGTCAGACGTCAACTTTTATGAAAATCTTGTGACTCAAGAAGGATGTAATCTAAGATTTTCAAATTGATACCGTAGGCGCAGCTACTAGAATGCTGAGGGTAAAACTGGTGGATTACATTATTTTTGCATATTTTTCATACTTAAATGTTTCATCAAACAAAGTTCAATATTAGAGAAAGATAGCTTAAGTAAATATAACATGCAGTTTTTAAATGAATATTTAATTTTTAAGGGTTAAAATTAAAAAGCTGTACAAACCTACCTGCCCTGATGCAAAAAAGAAAAATTATAAATTAGCTGTGATTAAGTTTTGTGGAAAAATAAGTTCAATGTCGGTAGCCAGTCATTGTACTCATTATTGTCAGAACTGTTGAATCAAGACTCGAAATAGTCTCAAAACATATTATCCCATGATCTAAATAAACAACAGCTGAGAACCAAAGTCATTGACATCAATCAATCTGGAAAGGCATTACAAAGCCTTTTCTAAGGCTTTGGGATTCCAGCAAACTTGATGATGAGAGCCATTATCCACAAATGGATAAACGTGGAACAATGGTGTACCTTCCCAGGAGTGGACAACCTACCAAAGTTACTCCAACAGCGCTCCAACAACTGATTCAGGAGGTAATAGAAGAACCCAGAAAAACATCTAAAAACTGCAGACCTCAGTTAAGGGCTGAGATCATGATTCAATAATATGAAAGAGGCATAAATGGCATCCATGGGAGAGTTCGAAGGAGAAAACACCTGCTGATCAAAAAGAACAAAAAGGCTAATCTCGCATTTGCCAAAAAAACATCTTGATGATCACTATGACTTTTGGGAAAGTACTCTGTGGACTGATGAGACAAAAGCAGAACTTTCTGGAAGCTTTGAGTCCATTAAATCTGATGTAAAACTAACACAGCATTTCATAAAAAGAGCACCATACCAACAGTCAAACGTGGTGGTAGTAGTCTGACGGTCTAGGTCAGCTTTGCTCCTTCAGGACCTGATTGACTTGCCATAATTAATAGAACCATGAATTCTGCTCTTAAATCCTGAAGGAGAATGTCCATCTGTCAGTTTGTGCCCTGAAGCTGAAGCACACTTGGGTTATCTAGCAGGAAAATGATCTGAAACACACCAGCCAGTACACGTCTGAATAGCTTAAAACAAAATGATGAAGGTTTTGAAGTGGCCTACTCTAAGTCTGGAGCTAGATCTGTTTGAGATGCTTTGCCATAACTTTAAACAGGCATTGGAGGTTTTTAAAGCTAGAAAACTCTCCAATGTGGCTGAATTATAACAATTCTGCAAATAATTGTCAGTTATTAAACCGCAGTTACAAGCTCAGTTTGGTTTGAATAGACAGGCGTTTCTCTGCTTTTTAAATTAGACTTCAAAATCGTTTAATTACTCTTGTAGTTTGAACTGGATTAGATAACCCTAGCCCCATGCTACTGGAGGACCTCCCATGATGGAGTGAGCACCTTTCTCATCTCCTCTAATCTCTCCAGACAGATACCTCTCTGAAGGTAAATCTGCCTCCCCTACCACACGTTTCTGCCAACCTGCGCAGTGTTTAATGTTATACGTCTTTTGTTTACATCCCCTTCTTTTCACTTTACCCTTAGTCAACTGGTCGAGGCACATAGCCGCTCTCCACCAGGTTTGTTTCCGTTAAAATAAATGGGGTTTTTTTTATCTTCCATCTGTCCTCAGGTGCTGGATTAAAGGGACTCATTGGATTTTATCTCTTCTGCTGAAAGGTCAATGCTGATGAAAGTAAGGTGCCCTGAGGCACCTGTTGTTGGTGCTTCACCAATAAAACAGAAGTGAATTCAGGTAGATTTCGCTGAACTTTAACAGTTTGACACAGACACATGAGCTTGCGTCACTCACACTAGCTCCTCACTTCCAGCAGCTCACTGAGATTCATCTATCTATCTATCTATCTATCTATCTATCTATCTATCCATCCATCCATCCATCCATCCATCCATCCATCCATCCATCCATTCTCTATTACTTTTCCAGGTTTGAGTCGCAAAGACAGCAGTCTAAGCAGAGAACCCTCTCACCCCAGCCACCTTTTCCAGCTCATCCATTGAGTGACATTAAGTTGTTCCCAACCCAGTCAAGAGATATAATCACTCCAGCGAGGTCTTGGTCTGCCCTGAGACAACCTCCCAGTAGGACATGCTCCAAACACCTCGCCTAGGAGGTAAATGGACTGGCATTAGTAAATGTTTTTCCAGTCAGTTTGAGCCCTCAGAGCTGTTTCTTACTGAAAATCTCATTCTGCGTTCACACACACATTCATGTAAGCAAATCTTTTTTTATTGTTACACACTTTTAACCTAACAATCTCACACAGTCACAGTCCGATGATGTGTCAGGGTCAACTCGGGGTTCAGTATAAGTCCAACGATACTTTGACATTTGAACTAGGGGAGCTAAGGGATCGGCCTTCGGGTTAGTAGACAAGCCACTCTTCCTCCTGAGCCACAGCCACTGTCTCTTCATACATAAAGTGCACAAAGTATCTGCTTTCTGCTAGGAAGACTGCCTGCTCATCCATGCAGACACAGACAATATGTTACACATAACCTGACACATGCAAAGTTGGGCTAGCCTGCATACTTCTGAGCATTCAGCGAAATCAACCTGAATTCGATTCTGAAAAGGATAAGCAGCAGAGACGGGTTGATGGTTTTACCACATTGTTTAGAGACAGAAACTAATCACATATTTTAATAGTAATATTTTACCGTGTAACAGACCCATTGATGCTCATTCCCACATCAAAGGAAACTATAATAATACATGAATACAAAATAATTTAATCACTTTATTGACAAAGCAAGAAGCAGACTCGACAACCTTCCAATTTATTTGGGTTATGGGTACAGTAAATCACTGTAGGAAGCAAACACAGTATATGCGGTAATCAGTCATTAGCAAATAACAACCCAGAGCAACATCTCTCTGTTTTGCATGTTGGGTATTATTGCTAGAAACCACATAACACATCAAACGAGATGCTTCACGGTGCCCTGAAAATGCTTCTGTAAGTCGGAAAATCAACCAGGAGTCACCACAAAGACCTGGAAGAGTAAAACTGACAGAGATGCTGCTGTCATGTGACCGATATGAGGATTAGAGTCACATGAGTGTTTTGAAAGATGGAAGACGTTCTCTGCGGATGTGTGCAGATCATTACCGTTTGTTTGCATGATGTGAGATATAGTATGCTATGCTCTGAGGCAGTGAAGATTTTGTTGAAAGAAAGACATCTTCGTTAGGCGTCGCACCGTTTGTCTTTGTGCTAATTTCAGTGGTGGGCCTCTTTGGCTCATTAGCGTTTTCCCTCAAGGCAGACAAACAAGTCGTCAGTCTCTGAGTTGTAAGAACTGTAGCAAAGATGCGTACAGCAGCCAGTATTTTGATGTTACAGAAAAAGCATGGATCATCTGCTGTGAAATCTATTAAACTGATGATTACAGGTGGATGGAGAGTTGAATCTACCTGGATAGGAGGTGCAGTGATTAACTCATGGAGTCTAACAGTCTAAAGCTCAGTTTTCCCTGTCAGAGAAACTGTTTTGGACAAGACAGCTTTGCACTTATATCACCGACTATCTCATAAAACTTGAGGAAGAATAGTGCACACGGTCATGCTATTGGCTTCCCAGCTAAGAGGTGAATGGAAACCCTTGTCATGTTTGCATTTCTTTGCTAAAAAACAAAACAAAAGAAAACAAAAGAAAGAAAAAGTGTACTTCACTCAGGTTGCATCCAGACCTTCTCAGGTGGCATAAGAATATGCCGATTTACTCACCGCTGCGTTACATGCAACATATCATTAAATCCCTTAACATTTAGCGTAGCAACTCATCTCATAAAGAGTCAGTGACAAAACTTTAAAATGGAACAATCCATCTGACAGTTCAGAAAAAAATAAAGCGAAAACACTGTGAGCTGAAAAATTACAAAGATAGAAACTCTTTTCACGCCTCAAGTGTCCTTACACCAGCTGACCTCACCTACTCATAATATATAAATATACAATATATATTGCTTTATTAATAATAGTCCTACAAACATGATGCTAAGCCGCTAACCGGTGGCTTAGGAGTGAAAGAAAATCCTTACAATCAAATTCAGTCTTACAGGAAGACTCGCATCAAGCTGCGGTTACTCAGTTAGGTTATGGCTCAAGGAAAGCATTGAAGAAAAACTGTGATCTGACTTATATGCAAACCCCAACCAGAGTTGTATAAAAGGAAACCATCCGTTAAGTAAAGACTTGTAGTTTCCTTTGAGTCCGCGTGCACGCTTATTACATCACGACTCCTCTTATATATTATAAGGCAGTAGTTGCAGTGTATATGATGGTAAAGTCATAAACGGGCGCCGTTAATGCAAGCCGTAGCATAAAAGGTTGATTTCACCTGCTTGCTTCATGCTGTTTGCTCATTGTTTCACTAGGGGCCACCATATGCATGTGTTTTGATAACAGAGGGTAACAGCCACTGCATCCGTGTGCACTCACAAGGCTAGTTTGGGAATTTGTTAAATGTGTTTTTAAAAAAATGTGAAAGGAAATTCCATCAAAACAATCATCCGGCTCTTCAGTGTAAGACACATCATCAGACACATCAAGAAATCTAATTTTTTTTCCTGAGGTAAAAAAAAAAAAAAAAAAAAAAAAAAGTGAAACAAAACAACACAAGACCCTCAAACACAAATATGCCAAAGAAGGCGTCGTACGTGTGTGTTTTCTGTACACAACCCACACCTGAGTAAAGTGCACAGTCCAGTGAGTCAGAACTGATTATCACCAGCATGTGGCCTGTTTACACGCAAAGCAGGCCCTGCAAAGGAAAGGCAGCACACCACCCCAATCCATCACTTCTTAAAACATACAGACTGAAGTTTCATGTGGCTGACCTCTCCTCCTTTAGAGACAGGCACTGATAAAATATATTGTGTACCTTAAAGGAATTAAGTTAATTATTTTCACATTGTATCTCTACCGCTATTTAAAAATGAATGACAAGTTGTGATGCTTTCTTAGTAATGTAAGTGATAATATTTTGTCTTCTTCTAATGTTTTTTTAACCTGTTGGCTGAGATTGATGTAGACAAACAAAAGTCTAATGACCTTTAGTACCTTTCAGGACTTTAGATTTGCACGATTCACAGTTCAAAATAATTCTTCTTCATCTTACACTTGCCCTCATCCACTGACTGAAACAAGCTGTTGTAGCTCCTTACCCTTTAAGCCAGCCTTCTTCTGATTGGTTGCCTCTCATAAGCAGAAGGTTTGGACGATAGGTGGGTGGAGCCTGAGAGGACCACATAAGGATATCTCCTCCCTTCATCATGCAGAGACAGTAGACTGAGCTTTTGCCTTACATACAGTACTTAAGAAATGTATTAGACCACCGCCCAGTGTAAGGTTTATGCCTCAGCGGCCCTAAGCGAACAGTATCTGTAACTAATTTTTTTTAATGTTTCTGTAATGGTTAATATTCTGTATGCACATTTTTAATGCTAAAATATAATTATTGTCGTCAATTATTACTTTCAAATCAGCTGCTGTAGAAAAAAAAAAGTATAAAAACAATATTAAAGCACATTATATTTTTTGGTCGAGATGCCAAATTGTATTAATTTACTTGCATTTCTGAACAGAATTTTTGGTGATCTAATAAATTTGTTTAGAACTGTATTTACAACAAAAATAATTTTAAAAAAGCATAATAGGTCCACTCTAAAACAGCGGTCCCCAACCTTTTGTGCGCCACGGATTTGTGTCCGGTTTATGTCCGACAATATTTTCACAGACCGGCCTTTAAGGTGTCGCGGATAAATACAACAAAATAAAACCTGTACCAAAAAAAAAAAGACGATTTATTCATAACACACGGGAAAAGACACAGGGAAACCGAGTTAACGATAAAACGATAAAAAAATAACGATAAAAACCGATAACAACCCTGAAAACCGGGTTAGGGTTAGCCTCGACTCTCGCGGCCCGGTACCAAACGACTCTTGGACCTGTACTGGTCTGTGACCCGGGGGTTGGGGAATCGCTGCTCTAAAGTGTATCATGATCTGGTCACTAACCAGAACAGTGAAGGTGGGCTGTGGGAAAACGCTTTGTTGTTAGTTGAAACACTGATTGGCTGCTTTGCACATGGCAACAGTTTGCCTTCAGGCTTTCTGTGATGTGGGTGACATTGTTAAACAGGTGTACTCTGACTCAAACCAGCCTTGTAGCTTTGTTGCCCAAACGTAACCAGGCTGCTGTTAGGGAGTGTTTCTCAAACAGGCATTCTGCTGGTTACAGAGAAGAGTTTAGGGCCAGATTTATTAAAAAGGGCAAAATAGCGTGCTTTACAAAAGTTGCGCTGCTTTTTGAACGGTCAATTTCAGCATCAAGTTAAAAAAAAATAAGACCTGCTTTTATTCTGTGTTAAATATCGGCACAATTAAAAGTAAATTGCATTATTAAATTAGTGTGCGTGCTTGATTTAAACATTCTCCTTCTTATATTTTGCACCTTGAGAAGGGAACTCCCAAAATTACATATTTAATATCAACATATCACAGGCAATCTTGTCACTGTGATCTCTTTCTGGATACTGATAGTACTTTTTACTGTGCCGGGCAACATTTTAGTAACTCTGGCAGTTAGTGCCTGTTGAGTGAGCGTGATATTCATTTTAGACACGGCCTTGATGCCAGGTAAAACTGACAGAGATATCTAAAGTCTGCTGTGAAAATGTGATTTGTACCGTGCAGTTATTTAAAGCAAGTTTCCTTAAAAATCGTTGCCTGGACTGATTACTTCTGTTTTTCAGATTACACCGGGGACTTTGATGCATGGCTATGGATTTTTTCCAAAAAGAAGTAAAAAAAAACAACCCAAAAAACCCAACAACAACAACAACAACAAACTATGTATGTTTCTATTCAAAGTGAGGAATTTCCTGGGGATCAATCGTTTTTTCATGTGCCTACCACCTCAGATATATTCAGCTGTGCCGCACACAAACACTCAGCCACCTAGGGTGATTTATGAAGGGCCTTTAAAGGTCACAGCTGCCTGGGTAACACAACTACCACAGCAGCTTCTAGTCCACTCTAAATGACTGCTATCACGGTCAAACTCAAACCAAGAAGGGGGGGCTACCATAAAATAAGGCCCCGCAGTATGCAGAGAGTATCTGACAGCAGTGTAAACAATTCCTTCTAGTTTAAAAGACTGACCTAAAGTGACACTTACTGACTTTTGCGAGTTATTTAAGGTTACTTCAAAGTTCATATTTAAAAAAGAGCGTATAGTGAGTGTGATATAATAAAATGGCTAAAACCAGTCTCAGTGTGGATTCAGTCAAGGTGCAGAACAACAGTTATCACCATTAACAGTCTGACAGATGATACAGTGGTTGAAATGCACATGTCACAGTAGTTACTAATCTGCTTGCGTCTCCGCAGCAGGAGGCGCTGCTGCTGCTGCTGCTGAAGACACCAGTCTAGCAGCTTCATCTTGGGGCTCCACTGGCCCTTCCCCACCCCCTGCCCCTTCATCGTCCTCCTCTTCTTCCTTCTCCATGCCCAGTGGAGGCTGTCTTTGTGCCGCACTGTGCCTGGAGCGGGCCCTGTGCCTTCGAGGGTGGAGGAAGAGAGCAGGGTCCGGCATGGCTGTGGGCTCTGCAGGGCCCGTCACTTTCTCTGTCGGCACACACTCTCGGGAACGCTCAACTCTCGAGGAAGCCCTAGCGCTCTTACGTTTTGGTTTAACCACAGGAGAAGAAGGCGAAGCTCCTGAAAGCATCTGTGGAGAAACTGTGGAGTTGTACTCAGCACCGTACTGGAGCCCCTGGTTGTTGGCCCTGGAAAGCAGGCCCTGCCTCTGCTGCATCCGCTGCTGGTGCAGTTTCTGCCTCGCAGCGTGCAGCTGGAAGGAGAGGTATGCCGCAGCCTCGGTTTGTTTCTGCAGCTCCGTGTTAAGGACGGTCGAACAGTGGCTGCGGCTTTTCAGCTCCTCCAGAAAATGGCGCTCTTTTTGCTTGAGATTGGCTCTGAGAACTCCCACCAAAGCCCCTTTCTGAGTGAGCTCCTTCCTAAGCTCTCCCAAGGCGCACTCCTTTTCTGCCAGGCGGTTTTCAACCTCCAGACTGCGAGCTTCCAAGAGCTCCTCTTCCTCCTGCAATTCTGATGCAGACCAGAAATGCAAATTATGAACATGTAGAGTTTCAGAATAAAGTTTATTTCACATTTATGGAAACCTCTCTGGTATGCAACATACTCTCCTCTGTTTTACCATCCATCAATCCATCTTCTGTTGTAGAGACACCCAGACCTCCCATGTCCCACCCATCTCAACTGTTGAGGTGCTCCCTCATAACATCATTATCCATTTTTTCCTACCACAGGGCCTCCTCCCAGTTTACCATGCCCAAAATACTTCATTTAGGAGGCGCCAAAACAGCTCCTTTAAATCTGGGGGAGCAGCATTAACTCTGAGCCACTCCTAAGTGACCGAGCTCCTCAGGAGCCCAGACACCCTTCAGAGGAATCTCATTTTCTGCCGCTTGCATCAGCAATCTAATTATTTTGGTCACTACCCACAGCTGATGGCCATAACAGCGCAGATCGACCAGTAAATCGTCAGATTTGCTGTGAAGCTCAGCTGCGTCATCACCATGAAGACAGAGCTGAGCTGAGACCGGTACAGCATCCACATTACTGCAGACGCTGCACCGATCCATCTGTCAATCTCCTGCTCTCATTTCCATCCTGGGGTGGGCATCCCACCATTTTTCTTTATGTGATAAAATAATCAGAATGATTTTTTCTGGAGAAATATAAACATTTTCTCCTGACCTAAAAAATGAAAAGATAAATATTTTCTGACTGATAAATAATCAAAATTCTCGATCAATCACTTTTTTTTGTCAGTGGATCAAACTAATATTGTCCTCGTTTCCATTCTGATGTTTGATAATGAACGGTCGTTTTTTGTGAGGCCGTTCGGTCCATATTATGGGAAGATCTGTGTGTTACTGTGATATTTGATATCTTTAATATGTCCTGCCCACTGCAGGCCGACTGATGCTCACATGCCGAATTTGTGGATCAGAGAAAAACAGAAGCTACAGCTTGATTCATGTGTTTTACTTCTTATCACCAAAGCAGAGCTAATGCTGCTCCATAAGCATTTATATTCTGTACAGTATGCAAAGCTTGTCCTCACAACACAGTCCCACATTTAAACAGACTGCACAGACACAGACTTTCATTCAGGCTACTACTAAACGCCTTCTCTGCCAAGGTCGTGTTTAACACAGCACACTGCTCATTGCTTTTTCTCCTTTTTGCCTCTGTAGACGAGCTTTCATCTCTTTTTATTCCAGTAAAATTCCCCACAGGGATGAGAGGCAGGTATGGATGAAAAGCCCTGAGTCAGTGCGGTTACCTCAGGGCTTACTGAGCAGGAGAAGCTGCTGGAGGAGCAGGAGGAGCAGGGGATTATAACCACAGAGGCCGGCATTGACCCTTCTGCCCAGAGGGAAACCGACCTGAAAAATCCTAATAAGCTGCTTCATATACTGACAAAAGCTTTGAAATTGGGGGTCCAAACTGTAACATCTTGCAGCTTATGGTATCCCATTCATGTAATTTCTCTGTCCATGACAGGCCTTTTATTGAGTTTCATCTCTGTTACTCATTTATTTCTTTATTTTCTCCATTTTTCTTACAGGATCGATCCTCTGAAGGCCGACCGGCTTCTCTTTCGCCCATCACCACACCCCACCTAAACTCATACGCCTGCTATAGAACTACCTAATGTGAACTTTACGTCCATCCATACGCCTCCATGTCTGCAGCTGACTGCACTCTGCCGCCTTTCCTTTTGCCTTAATTGCCCTCCTCTCTCCCCCTTGTTACTTCTCTCCTTTCTTTTCCTCTCTTGTTTCCTACATCTCCTTCTCTCTCGCTCTCAGCAAAATCTGTAAGTGGACACCCCCACCGGGACCTCGAGGAAAAAAGGAGAGCAGAAGACGAAAAAAAAGAGGATGGATCAATTTGCCGGGGTGAGGAGGAGAACACAGGGCTGTGCTGCATGATGTATCGTGAGTGGGGGGATAACCTGCCCTGGATAAAGTAGATGGGATCTAATGGCTGAGTAATGCAGCCAGGCACAACTCCTCCCCCCTGCCTCCCGCACTCTTTACAAGCACACGCACATTTATACAGCCTTTTGACTGCTCTTCCTGGAGTCTGTCTCCAATTCGCTGAGACAAAATGGTGCCTCTTTCTGCACTGAGCCACCTTCACGAGGTACGCTTTAGCCGCTGAGACAGTTTCTTCATCTTACGTGTGAAGCTGTAGCATCTTTTTACACACGTGGCTTTACCAGAGACTCCTCCCTCCTGAAGAGAGAGGCAGCGGTGGCCGACAAAGATCTGTCCCCTGGAGGATGCAAGGGTGGAAGCATGGAGAGAGACAGGGGTCATCTGGGGGTTAAAGCTGAGTATGGGGAGGGTGAGTGAAAACTAGCTCGGGGAGATGTAAACATGTGGCTGTCTTTGTGTCCTCAAAGCCAAAAAAAGATGACAAAAATCCAAGAGGCACGAACACAGTCAGGCACGGCAGAGAGAGGAGAACTAGGAAGAGCCTGTGAAGGGAGCGTATGTGAACTCAAACATACCTATTTGACTCCTGCCCGGAGGCTTCATCTTCAACTCGCTTGTCAACTCTGAAAAATGCAAGAGACACACAAAGACAGCGGGAAGAGAGAGAAATCAAAAAATCAGAGATTAAACGCAGGCGATCAGAGTCTTATTAAAGCTGTATGCTGACAGTTTGTGTTTGCTGCTGCTGGTGGTTAACATAACAGATGCTCGATGCAGTACATCCTCGGCGAGCTCATGCATAATTTATGAAACAAAATCTGAAACTTTACATCAAAGACTGAGTGCTAGAGACTGCCACAGTCTGGATCTGTAAGGACACATTTGTCATATTAGCATTTTATTTTATTATCCTTATTTTTGGGATATAGGAGTGAAATCAGCATGGTGGAAAAAGCTGCTTTTGACTGCTTTTCTGATGTATATTTTGTTTTACCAGCTATCTCTCTGCAAGTTTGATTTGGCAAATCCAACCCCAAAAGTTTTTCGTGCCACCTCCGGGGATCTTTTGCTTCTTAAACAAACGTGTAAACCACTACACTGTGGAGCCACTCTCAGTGTAATCAGAATATATTTAAATAAAAATGCAATCCCCGTGAGCTGTGCCACATTTAATAAAACATCCGATGAAGCTAAACATCCTGTCGTGCTTTGTACGAGAGAATCATTTCAACTTAAAGCCACAGCTTACAATCATATCATTAAAAGTACCTTTACATTATTTTAATAGTTCTTTTTCCCCCCTTGTATAGCACTTGAGTGAAGATGTGCATCTCTCTGTTGTATCTGTGTCTGCTGTATGCTTTGTCTGGCTTTTATGTCTCACATTAGGCGCTCGCCTTTGAGTCCATTTCACTTGAGCCATAAAAGCAAAGCAAGCAGATTAGAGGCACTAGAAACTCAGCAGCTTTTCTGGACAATAAAACGCATCTGATCAAAAGATCAAGCCATTATTACCTTTTTTAGGGGTATATCAGGCAGGAGCAACAGTCTCGAATAGTGGCAGTGATGTTAAAAGATGCTCAGTGTGATATGCAGCATATTTTTAGATGGATAAAATAAAGCATTTCTGATATGTTAAGATAATGTGTCAGACTGAAGCATTCAGTCGTTCAGTGACTTTTGGACTATATTTCTGCATATAAGTGAGTGCCGAGGGGCAGACTGCTGGTTGTGTCTGTCCTGTCAGTCATCTCGACGGTCATCCACAGCAGCCTGACTGCAGCAGGAAAATCTCCACATTCAGCCTTTTTCTGCACACACCACAACACAGAGAGCGGTGCTTCATTTAATTCCCCCGTGACCAGAAAAACTCTTATTCTCTTGAGATATTCGAGTTTATTTAAGTCAGAAATTATGAGCAGTGAACTTCAGGCTTTTTTTTTGATGGAAGAATTTGCAGTGTATACAGAACAGGCTGTACCATCATGTGCATGTGGCTTGGTTATCCCTAGCCTCTCTTCTCCTCTTGCTTTCTCTGTCACACCCTCTCTCCTTCCCTCTGCAGTCAGCATACTGTAGCACACCCACCCATGCAGCTGGCATGAAGAGAGAAAGACAGATGGGGGGTGTGAGGGTGGAGGGTTGGGGGGGCGGAGTTAAAGAAGGAAGGAAGGTAGGCGTGAAAAAGAAAAGGGGAGCTCCAGAAAGGCACACTCAGTGATTGCACCCAAATGTGAGTGACTTCGAAAGCATCTTATTTTCTAGTTATCACCCTCATTCACAGCTTCCATGAGCCTTGAAACTCCGTGAAATTCATTTAGCAGCGGGGGAGCACAGAATAAGCATAACTCTAAGAATTATTCCTGACACAATGAAAATCAGTCACTCAGCACATTGCAATATCCAGCGTGTGCAACACTTTGTAGGTCAGTCTTATCTCCTGCAGCCTGACTGAGCGTTCAAGGCTTTTGTTTAGTCGATTCAACCTTGAACGTTGGAAAGATATCTGCAAGGACAAATGCAACTCGTTTCTGGGATGCACAAAAAACGCATTAGACCAGACAGGAAGACCTCATTTACAAACAGTGATGCAGCTTGTAGCTCATGAAGAGAGAAGCGCCTTTATGTGCTGATTAGGAAACTCTTGGAGTTGAGAACAGTGAAAAAAAAGAAAAAAGGCAGAACTAACGTGCACAACAACACTGTCAGCCCAACCTTGCAGTAACCTTCCACGCTTTATTAGTGAGCTGGCAGGGTACACCTCTGAGTCCTGCAAACTGCATTAGCCTATCTCTTCTTCACTGCCTCAAGTTACAAATAAAAACGTTCAGCAAAGAAAACTAACTAATCCGTGACAAGCAAATATTCAATATTCTTTCCTTTTCCTCGCTTGTTCAGATACATACGACTGTTTGATCTTTGCCTTAAAAAGACATTTGCATGGAAAACCTTTTAACAGCTTTTCCACTCTGGCCCGACGGCATCGTGAGAAGCTTTAAAGATGTTCAGCAGCAACAGCTGCTGAGTATTGTTTTTAGTGAGTGCAATCCCACAGAAACCTCTGAGGAATGTGGAAATTAAAGGCAACAGCAAACTGGAGTGAGGAGAGCAGGCCGATGCCACCAACTGCTGAGGAAAGATGATTTATTTGTGTACACGTACTTCTGGGGGCAGAAATGCACTGTACTGTCTTTACGCAGGTTTGGCCTCGTTTCCTTGCAGCTGACAGAAATATGACTGAAGCTCCATGTGGACCAAAAAAAAAAAACCCAAAACCCCCCACTGCTATAAACAATCTGTAAGAGCCCCACATTACAGTGGGAGAGCCCACAGAAACAAAAGGAAAGGAAGAGGAGGAGATGGCAAAGAGCAGGCCAGCTCTCTCTCTGTTGGTGGTGTCATTGCCACACGCAGCTGCACTGAGCAGATGTGACATGTGTGCGGGACAAACACAAAATAATGGACCCAGCCCTTCCCCCATCCTCCTCCACCCCCTGCAATCCTCTTCATATGGATTACTAAAGCTATAGGACCCATGGACTCATTACAAAGCACGTGTATTTCTGTGTCTGTCAATTAACTAACGTGTGTGCTGCTGGTTGTGCACTGGGGACAAAAAACTGTTCACATAACAGGATTCACGTCCCAACCAATGATGATCTATTTTAGGCTTTTAAGCAAGAATTATTATAACAGGGTTGATGGTTAGCCAGAAATAAACAAAAACATCTCCACAAGAAGGCTAATACCAGACTGTGTGTGTGTGTGTGTGTGTGTGTGTGTGTGTGTGTGTGTTTTCATGTGCATCTGGATGCTTGATTAAATGGAAGAAGGCACCATCCATTAGGCACCAAACAGGAAATGATGCAATCTACAGGAATTGTAGCATGACATCATCATGTAAGCATTGTCTGGCACTGAGTGGTGCTGCAGACACACATTAGAAGAACAATGAGGACACACACACGCACACACACACACACACACACACACACACACACACACACACACAGGCTTTAGCTCAGTGGATGTGTCTCCTTAAAAAAATTAAATGTTATAATTCAGTGAAATCAGGGAAATGACAGGATCAAAATATCAGGGTGTCTGATGGTTTATTGTGAGGTTAAAACCCCATTCAAAGAAGGCTGTTTTCCAAAATCTCAGTAAATCCTTTCTCTGAGGGTAAAAGGTCAATTAGATTGGTCTTAGCTGATTAATAAAGAGCTGCAGAACACCAGCAATGCCTAAAGAGGATTAGCCAAAAGGATTCTTCAATTAAATATGAACTCATAAGACCGCAAACGATTAAAAATTAAAATGTACATTACAAATGTACCTTCCAGTGTCCACTCTGTACTTTTTTTGGGAGGGGTTTTAAAAATTTTTTAAACACATCTTGGACACTCAGACATTGTGTATCCTCACATCTTATATTCTATAAAGTAACAGAAGTCATTTAAAATAAACATATAGCAGAAACCCAAGAGGAAAACTGATTTAACCTCGTAGGACCTGGCTTCCACATATGTGGTCAACACATTTTGGGTTGTCTAGACCAAAATACTAAATCTTGCTCTACAAGGGCCTGATATCCACTTACGAGGACATTATACTGCCACTGTCGAAATTTAAAACAAATGTCCTGATATGTGGATCTCATTTTTCTCAGAAGCAAAAATCATGTAAAAAAAAAAAAAAAAAAATCTGGTAATTCTTTGTTTTTGCATTCATCAGGTCCCAATCAGTCCAAATAGCAAAGAGAATTTAAAAATGCATGCCATGAAAGAGTTCGGGTCTTAGGAGGTTAAAGAAGCCAGGAAGTACTCCTGCTGATTCTCTAAAGGCCATGTGGTTAAATATATTTTTAGCGTCAGTAGAAGTAGGGGATCAGGTAGAGTTTTTTAGGGCTTTACTTTCAAAAACAGCAGCAACAGCAGCTGAGAACCCCTCACCTGTGCATCGTTTCTGCAGGGAAAGGATCTCCAGGTGAAGACCATGGAGCATGGAGAGGTGCTCCTTCCTGAGGAACACCATGCTCCTCTCCACACCCTCTATCTGCTGAGACAAACTCCTCTCATCGCCCATGGCTGAGTCTAAAGAGACGAGAGAAGGGGAGAGAATCTGCGTTTACTCCTGCCAGACACTAACTTAGAAATTCAGATTACAACCTAGGAGCTCCAGCGGCTCCACGTAACTTTGTCTTCAGTGGGAAGTGCCCGCTCGGAATTGAGGTCATGCTGGAGCTATAAATAAGGCATTGATAACCAAAAAAAAATAAAAAATCAAGCCTGACCGATAACCTCGACTTATATTTCATTAGATAATATAAGTGTCCCTGCTTACCTTAAATTGACGTTAAGTACCAAAATGTGAAGAAATGTGATTTGCTAGCGTTATAAATACGTCCTCCGGTCCGGGCATGCTGGCCTCCGGCGTCGGTCCAAATCCTGCGGGCTGCCGCATTCACCCAGACATTTTATCTGGAGCGTTTAAGTGCTTTTCAGCAGCATGTGACGCTGTTTGATCAGAGGAAGAGCAGGAGGAGGAGGCTGGATGGGTGCGTAAAAATGCAAAACGACGCATGGCACCGCGATCCGCCGACACCAAAAACAATCCCTGCTGAAACATCTGCAGGGTCGATCATCAGCAGCAGCAGGAACATGAAGCTGCTTTGAAAACCGACGAGCAAAGTGCGCAGTCCATTTTTTTTCTTAACGTGCGCACCTTTCCTCCGCTCCCACCAACTGAGGCGTCATCGAGCTGCTGGATGAGCAGCGAGTTGAAGACGGTGATGAAAACAAGCCATCGTGACCAGAACACGCGAGAACATCGTACGACGGGGTCAGTCCGCCAGCTGATTGGCTGAGCGGCACATCACCGCTCCGAGTCGACTCTGTGGAGCAGCGGTCCCCAACCCCCGGTCCTCGGACCGGTACCGGTCCGTGAGTCGTTTGGTACCGGGCCGCGAGAGCTGAGGCTCAGGTGTGAAATGTATAGTTTTCAGGGTTTTATCGGTTTTCAGCGTTATTTTGTTATCGTTTACTCGGTTTTCCTGGGTCTTTTCACGTGTGTTATGAATAAATTTTATTTTTTTCGGTACCGGTACTAGTTTTATTTTGTTGAATTTATCCGCGACACCTTAAACGCCGGTCCATGAAAATATTGTCGGGCATAAACCGGTCCGTGGCGCAAAAAAGGTTGGGGACCGCTGCTGTGGAGGATCAAGGCGCAGCTCGTGCGTGTGAAGACGCGAAACTTTAAAGCCTCGCGTGCACGAAGCGTGTTTGCTTTGTGCACTTTAATGAAAGGATGCGCGTGATTCCAGCACCTTGGACAGCGAGACACTGCTGCAGTGGTTCTCAACATGAAGGCTGGGGACCTCATTTGGACCTTTTGGGAGTCGCTTACAGGACAAGGAATGCAAGGTTAATAGTAATAATGATAACAGGAGCACCTGAGAATAAGGGCTATGCTAACTTTGATCTTTTATGCTCATGCCAGCATTGTTAATATGGAAATCTAGTGTAGTATATAAATCTTTTGTGTCATTATGAAGTCATATAATTTTGTATTGAAAAAGTAAACTTTAAATTTTACTTTCAAACAAAGAAAGTGCTTATGCCCCCCAGTGATTATCGTATTGCTCTAAAGTTTTGGAGAGGACCTAACCTTTAACCAGCGGCAGATCTAGAAAATTGTACATGGGGGGCAAAGGAGGGGGAAGAGGTCTAGGCAGAGTGGCACAAATAAACAGTTAGATTTCTATAAGCTGGGAAAAACATGACTTATTACTCAATATGGCTTCTTAACTTTTTTTTTTCAATATGAACTTTGACCTTGGGCTCTCACAGTGAAGGCCAAGGTCAAATGCTTAGCCAACCTAGCTACTCATGTCCACCAAGCGCTAGTATATTCTGAAGTTTGAAGACTATTCAGAAAAAATTGTGGGTAATATAGATTTTTTTTTTTTTTAGAAATTTTCACAAGTGGCATGACCTTGAACAGATTTTCACCAAAATTAAATCAGCCCCGGTATCTACCGTCACAAAAATTTAACACAAAATTAAAAACTGTGGATGCCAGAGTGCTAACAAAGAGACAGACAAACACATAGATCCAATTACATACTCCCTCCTTCAGGCGAGAGAATAAAAAACAAAAACTCAACTGTCACTCCCCCTCAGCCTCCTGGTAGATGCACATATAGCCTAAATTTGAAAATCGTAGCTGATCATCAGAAAAGTTGATTTTTCTGATTTTGACCTTGAGGACAAGGTCGCTAAAATTCGAACTCGTCCAACATTTTTACTCTTCTCGAGTTCTGGGTAGTGGTTGCACAGCTGGAGCCTATCCCCAGCAGCACACCGGGTCAGGTCTCCAGTCCCCTGTAGGACTAAGTGAAGAACATACAACATGAATGTAGGTCTGTGTAAAGTTAGTTTGGGCTATAAAGAAGTAAACGCTGTTTGCATTTCTTTCTAAAACTTGTTAACATATCTAACCTTTAGTGCTTTTCGTAGATTCACTGTGATCTGTACATTTTAATGCACTTATAATAGCAGAAGATGGAGTTTGGACAAAATAATCCCTGTTAAAATAGTTCTGGTTTTTCAAAATAAAAGAAGATAGTTTTAAGAGGTCACCACAGTGATGAGTGTCACATGTTTTATTTGACAGGACGTCCTTCCTGACCCCAAAAGCATTTGTGTCACCTCCGCGGACCTTTTGTTTCTTTAATACGAACAATACCTTTGATTGGTTGGGTCCACCTGAGATCAAACTGGGTCACGTCACACATGACTAATAGTGAGTCGGACGCCCCAGATCTGGACCTCGAACTGGCTTCTTCTTTTATAACCCCGATGCTAATCCAAAAATCTGCAGAGAAACTAAAACAGAACGCTCATTCCTTTGATTTTATTCACTTATTTTAATCGACACATTAAAACAAATAGCGTTGTTAGATAAACGTACATATCACAATTTTAATTACAAAACAATTTTGACAAAACTTGAAAAAAATAAAACTTATATTTACACCGTTATATTTATATGCGACAGTCTGATGACAGGATGATTTTTGCTTTCAAAACTTTCAGAAAGAAAGAAAAAAGTGAACTTCATGAATGAATAAACAAGGGCACACTGATGGAGTAATTATAATTTGTGGGTTTTGATAAAGTTGGTGGACTTTAGAATGCCTCTTGGCCTAAATATTTTCTCGTTATGCCGACAAGTCACAAATATTGAATCACAATACTTAATATTTTTGACCTCATAAGATCTGGGGACAGTCGCATTTGGAAATCAAAGCCATACAGGTGATCAGAGCTACTACGAATGCTTTAAAAATAAAATAAAATCATCAGGTCATTAATGTGACTTGGCTGCTAAGGCGTGTCACAATTCATTAAAGCACACAGCAACATGATGAACAAATGATGTCGTACAAGCACAATTTCAATAACATTACAGCCGTATTCATAACAGGTTCACGAGCAAAAGCTTGTTTGTTAGAAAGAACTTCAATTACCAACAACAAAGCTGCCCTAAAAAAGCAAATTTAACATTGAAAAGAAAATTAATTAAAAACAAAAACAATAACTCAAACTTTTGTCTTCTCCCAAATAGTGTTTTTGTTTTTTGCTGTGCGCTGTGATTGTTACTGGGGCTGGAAGGCCTGCTTTTCACGGCTTGAACATAAACATATTCAAGCATGCACACTGTGAGGAAACTGCACGTGAAGAAAGGAGGAAAAAAAAAAATTTGCTAAAAAAATGCCCTCCCACCCTCTAACATGTCTTAACACAATCATGTCAGCGACAGGAAAACTCGGTGAACACTGTGTCACCTTAAACTCGTCTTTTATAGCACAAATAAATTACAAAGATATACAACAAATCAAACACTGATTATACACAAAGGCAAAACATCAAAAATATCAAAAGCAAAAAACTAAATGGCATCAATTCTAGAAGAGCTATAATGCTGTGGGCTGAGCTGGAAGGAGAGGCCGTGTGAGGCTGTGTAAATAACGGTCTGCTGTATTCACAGCTCTCAGACCAGTTTGTTCCCGCCCACCTCGGGGTTTTCTCTGCTTTCTGTCGCGCTCATCTGCGACTTTAAAACTAAATGCAGGATGGCAAAGATCTACAAAAGCCCTTCAAAGTAAAAGCATCTCTGGTGGTCTTGGCTGAGCTGAGGTCACTGAGGTGAGGTGTAGGAATGTGCTGATACTTCCTGCCTGTCTGAAAGCTCCTACTGCAGACGCACACGCCACGGCGCACTGTTGAAATATTAATTACTATTCTAATTATTGAGTTTACTCAACTAATCTACATCATTTAGGTTTTCCTTTCACTTCACAGGTTTCAAGTTTAAAGCGCAGCTGCCCGCTCATGGACAGTGATGCCATCAGTGGAGATTTCGCCTCGTTCCTCTGAGGTTTACCGACGCGAAGATCCCGCCGCGTGGGCCGAACTGAAGGGCACGAGCTGTGTTAAGCATCAGGGTTAAATGTAAAAGGACAAAACAGACACACGTTGTTGCCTCCCAGTTGTCATTATTCTTTCGTTAAGCAAAGATTTGCATTTGCTTGATTTTCTTTATTCAACAAGCAGACATTACTTTTGTTTCTTTTTTTTTTGCTGCCAATCACCGGCAGCATTGCGAGTGTTGGAAAGAGGCAAAGAACTGGTGTGAGCCCTGAGGTAGCAGGCGGTTTTTAGCTGAGGAGATTTGGTGGGAAAGGCATTCACCTCTGACGTCACCCCCACCGAAGAAATAAAACTCACAGCAGCATAACGTGTATATATCCTATGTATAGAGATATATGTCTATATATGAATAAGAGATTATTGTTCCAAAGTAAAGAGAGATATTTTATATTTATGTTTCTGTTTCCGCTGGCTGCATACATGGACGTTTGAGGGGCTCAGTGCATTGTCACTCATCGCGAGCTACATTTTAGGATCGATTGAGCTGAAACGCCGTGTGACAATAAGGCGTTTGGTGTCTCACAAGGCCTCGATTTGTTTATATGAAGCACTGAAATATGGGAGAAAACTGCAGCTGATTGGTAGATGGGTCTGAGGTGCGGCTGTTTGATTACACTTGGAGTACTTGTACCTGTAATGTAAGGGAGGTGCAGATCTCTCTGTCTTTACAGCTATGAGTATTTAAACGCTTGCAGTACAGACAGTACAGAACCTCAGCCACGGCGTGTTAATGTACAGTAACGTGTGCCCCTCTGAATCCTTCACCTTCCTCCCCCTCCTCTCTACATCTCCTTTTCTTTCTTGGCCTCCCGGGTGCTGCTCTTTAAGAAGTCGCTCCTGAGCAGGCGGCAGAAGAGGACGATGTTCATGGCCGTCATGATGGCCATGCCCACGCTGCCCAGCGTGTAGGCCAGGAGGGGCACCTTGTCCCTGTTGAGCACCAGCCACCGGGTCATCCAGGCTAGCGTGTTGATACGGAACACCACGTACGTGCCCAGGTTGATCATGCTGTTGACGCGGTACAGCGTGCTCGCGGCCATGTTGGCCATGCGCAGGATCTGCCTGATGTGGAGGAACACTGAGTTTATCTCCACCAGCAAGGCAACCACGGCGAAGCCCACGTAGCGGCACGACACCACAGCGAGGCCGAAGCAGGTGATCACCTACAGAAGAAGACAAGGAGAGAAAACGGCACAGAGGAACATTACAGCAGGTGAAAAACCAAAAACAGTATTATCCACTACTACTAGTTCTACCATAACTACCACTACGATTATAAATATCACTCTCTTCTCGTCTGTGAGTGCATCACTTTTTCATTGTGATGCACTCACCAGCAGATTCATTAGATACTCATCTGCTCTTTAATGCAAACATCTAATCAGCAAATCACACGGTAGCAACTTAATGCATTTAGACACAATCAAGTGAGGTTCAACGCGA